GCCACCAACCGGTACTAAAGGTGGTGGCCTTTAGTACGGGTTGGTGGCTCCAACCGGTACTAAAGACCCCCCCCCTTTAGTACAGGTTGGGGCCACCAACCGGTATTAAAGGTGGTGCGCTGCCACCCGCAGTGCACAATGTTTAGTCCCACCTCGCTAGTTGAGAGGAGCTCGCACCGGTTTATAAGCCCCGCCGCGGCTACCGTGTCGAGCTCCTCTCTAAGCAGGCCTTTGTGGGCCTATTGCAAGTCTTCTGTCCTGTGGGGCCTACTGGGCCGTACGGACCTGCATCCTGGCCCAACTAGAGATTGGGTTTCTAGTCATATGAAGGCGGTGCCAGCCCAGTAGGCAGGCTGTTTTTGCTTTATTTCAAAAATAAAAATAAAAAAAATCCTTACCAAACGGGACTAAAGGTCCCCAGACCACGGCGCGCCTCGTGCCACGTGGTGGGCCTTTGGTCCCGGTTCGTGTTGAACCGATACTAAGGGGGGGGGGGGACCTTTAGTCCCCACTCTTTAGTACCGATTCCAGAACCGGTACTAAAGGTCCTTACGAACCGGTATTAAAAGTCATTTTTCTACTAGTGCTCTTTTATGATCTGATTATTTATGAATTTTTATTTTCCTTTACTTTTGGTTTTAGCTGCATTGTTTAAAGATGTACATGCTCTTCTATTAGTTTACTAGATGATACCCCGCGCGTTGCTACGGGAATTGGTTGCAAAATATTTAAGTGAGATTTTTCTTCTTTTGTAGGAATATGAACATTGGTAATGAAATGACAAACTGGAATTGAAAATAATATAATTTATTGTACTTAAGTATGTTGTATAGTTTCAAAATATCCATTACATATAAGTAGCATAATAGAATGCATGGTGGGTCTATACCCATGCATGAATATGCCAGACTATTTCAGAAAAAAACAAAGTGTATAGTTGGATTATCATAGTAAACAGTAAGGATGATTTGAGGGAGCATCTCCCATCTGTGCAGTTTTGTATAGTATGGTTGCACTTAGTTTTTCTCACGTTGTTATTCCCTGAACGTAGCAGTGTCGGTGGAATTAAAAGCTGGCAATGGACTCCGAATAGAAATATATAATCCATGGAATTACTCTGGTGGATAAGTTAAGTGTCATCCTCAAAGTGACTGAAGTTTTGCAATGATAAACATTAGGTGGATTGAGGAGTCGAGAAAATAAATCTTAACCGGTCAGTCATATGTGCGATCCTAATCAAAGGGGTGTGATATCATATTGATATGGGAATATTATAAGAGAATGGAATATTATAAGAGAATGCCCAGACAACAGTGTATACCTTGATGTTTCATGTTCTCTTTATATGACTGGGCCACTCGTGTAATGTCGCAGTTCTCTTTAAACTATGATGTTTGTCTATCTCACTTGGATGCATGGATAACTTATCATAGTTTAAAAAGTATTGAAGACTGAATCATTTCTATACGATTTTTAGCACGTACTTACAAATTCAATGAAAAAATGACAGGAACGAAAATTTGTCAGAAACACACACAACATATGCTTACTTTTATGCCATCCATATTTAAGCCGCCAACTTCTTACGTTTTCTCTCAGGCTTGTGACTATATTCTATGATAATATAACCAAAGGGATGTTAAATGCACTATATATTTGGAAATTAAAATGTTCATCATTCATACCAATTCAAAAGTAGAGAAGGTTGTCGGCCATCAATGTCGTGTGAGATCATAATGATTTGGGTAAAATATAAAAGAATGCCTAGAATGTTCTGTATACCTGTGGGCATAAAGGAGCAAACCATGTTATTGCTAGAACATCTAGATTACAGAATAGAGATAATCACAAAGTGACTATATTAACCGTAAAATTCTTGAAAGGATCATCTCATCATACAAAGTATAGTGTTAATCTCTGCGGAAGAATGGGGTATGGAGCAAGAAGAAACCTCAGTGCTTACCTCTCTGGGGTAGTAGAAGTAAGGTTTGTCCGATAGCTGATGGTGTGAGGGCTGCGGCTAATCAAGAGATTCAGCTGCATAGAGCCATAAAAAACATAAAATAAAGATGATGGATCTACATGCTATGTCACAGAGGAATATAGGGATTATACGAATCGGAAACAAATTGTGTCATTAGTGAACCAATCTTATTATGCACGATCAGATCTTTTTTTTAGAGGAAAGGCATCGGCCGAGCCCGAGAGGAGGCTCGAACCTAGCCCGGCTTTGAATTAACAAAGCCATCAACCGGCCAGGATTACATCGATTAACCACATACAAGCAACATGAAAAAGAAAGAAAAGGAAGACACTGAGGCACAACAACCTCAGGCGGCCGATACAAGGTGCAAAACAGGACAGTGCACAAACCAAAGACTACACAAGCAGCTACCAAGATGAAGCTGAAGAACTAAGCTTGGTCAGTCAAGGTCTTCGTCCACCGAAGCAACCACCACCGGACAAACATCGAACTTGTGGAAAGCAACAATGTGAAAGGAGAAGGCTCAAGTCCACTCCAGCATGATGAACAACCTGGGCATAATGAAATCTGTCTTCGTCGCCGTAGGAGGCCACAACCTTCTCGTCGTCGGCAGGCGAAGTGGTTCCCCAAGAACCCGGATTCACAAATGTCAGTTGCCATTGTGCTCCACAAGAAACTTCAGTTGCCATGGCACAACCACGAAGGAGACGCACACTGCAGGATAGGAACATGAACCAAATCGACACGGCGAGAGGTTGATGAAGAGCAATGCCGCCACTGCAGCCACCAATACATCCAAACTTGACATCCACCCCGCAGTCCAAGGACGACGCCTTCAGGAAGGGGAATGGTGCCGTAGCGCCGCCATCGTCCCGAAACAGGACCAAGGTTTTCACCTAGATGCAGGGGCAGATTGGTGGGGGGTGGGATACCTCAACGAAGCCTCCAAGAAGTAGTTCGACGCCGCGGCATCGTCGTCGTTGTGGCCGCCGCCGGCGGCCAAGGGTTTCCCCCGGTCCCAGGAGCCCCACCGCCAAAACACCGCCAACCGCCGGATCCGGCGAGCAGAGTCGCACCGGAGCTGAGATCGAACGGGAGAAGGCGAGGAGGGTGGAGTTGGAGCTGGTCGAATCAGATCTGGAGGCGGACCGACGGAGGAAATCCGGCCACCGCGAGATCCATCCACCGGGGCCTCGCCGCCCAAGCAAGCCGAGGTGCCCAGCCGAGCACCCGTAGCCGCCGTCCGCCGCAGGAAGCAGCGTTGCCCACCTTGACCGGGGCCGCCACCCCGGCACACCATGCCCTGCGCGTGAGGCAGGAGCGGCAAGCCTCGCCGCCACCTTCCTCGGCGCCGCGCGGGCTTGCCGGCGGCAGTCTCCGGTGGCGGCAAGGTCTGGAGGAAGGAGGGGAGAGGCCGGCGGCGTGCTAGGGTTGGGGGCCGCCCGAGTTGCCCCAAGGGAGCGACGCGGGGGCGGGTGAGG